CCTTGCCAGCGTAGCCGTAGCTGTTGGGCGCGCCATAGTAGCCGGCGTTGCCGTACATGCCAACCGAATACGCCGACGTCGTGACGGGCGAGGCGGCCGCGTCCACCGACGGCGTCGACTGCGGGAAGAACGACTTGAAGAGGTTCTCCGACTTGAGGCGGGCCTTGATCGGCGCGTTGTTGAACGTCTTGTTGCGGAGCGCAAGGAGCGTGTTGACAGCCTCCTCTTCCGTGGCCATCGTGACAAACCTAATGCGTGTCATCATGAGCAGGCGAATGTGTCAAGGGTCGAGGCGCGTACCAGGTGTCGCCGACGTCGCTACGGACGCTCGTGACAGCACCGCAGCCGGCAAAGATGGCCTCGACCTCGGCCGGCGCCGTCGCCGACGGGATCTCACGCAGAATGATCGTGTTGCGCTCCGACTTGATGTTGGGCTTGATCGCGTTCTTCTCGTCGTTCAAGACAACAATCTAGATCGTCGTGTCAGCACTGTGCGTTGGCCATCATGGTAATGGCACCTGCGAGTCCTTGATGGCGTCAATGAGGAGCGCCGCGTCGTCGCTGAGGGCCTTGATCTTGGCAAAGCCAAGGATGGTGTCAATGGGCACGAACCTAGCCAGGCTTGCTATGAGCGCCCGTCGGTCGATATGGCTGTACATTTGCGCGTTCATCTGCGACACCAAGTACGAGTCGGTCGCGAGGTTGGCCTTGGAGAAGTAGAATTCGACTTGGCTCTGGAGCGCGTCCTTCAAGGCAGCCCCGACTAGATGGTCTCATGAGCGCGCATGCCCACCGCCGGCGAAAGCACCTACCGAGTTGCGCTTCTTGCGTGGCACTCATGGTCGTCAACTACGTGGTCGCTCGGCAAAGGTCCCAGGAAAACAGGAATGGAAAGTTTCCGGATACTGGCCATGCCATTGCGCTCGCCAGCCAGTAATTTGGCACCCGGCATCATATTATTATCCACCACAAACGGCCAATGCACTTGGGTTTTGTATGCCAACGGTATTAAAAGATGGTCCGATGCCATCCGAACACGCAATAAAAGCGACTGCCCAACCAGAACGCACGATGCAGAACCAACCAAATCCTTGTTAAAGTTTTACCAGCACTGTCTCAGGGTCCACGCCGCCGTCGACGGCAAGCCGTGCGCGAGCCCAAGCCGCTCGCCACGTCGCCATCGCGCTGAACCTGCGCGCACCGCGATCGTCCTGCGAAAATGGACCGGCAGCGAGAGCGATGCGTCGCGAAATCGCTGACTCGGAAGGATGAAGAAGTGGACGCAGCAGTATATTGTCCGACCCGTGCCCGCGCGCATGAGGAGGGCCGTGGCCATGCACAAGGGCACGAGTCAGGTGTAGGCCCACACCACATACTAGTACACTACCAAATGCAAGCCGCGTCGGCAAGGGTACTTATTTCATGTACCCTTGGCTTCGAACAGCACCGAACACGGCATTGGAGTTGGATCGGACCGATACAGTGTATTTTGCAGTGCAAACACGACGTCAACTCGTGTGTGGGATGTGGACAAGTTGGCTGTCATCCTTAGCTTTTACTAGTACCGTTTTGTAGCCTGTGGTGTAGCAGTCGTTTGAAAATGTCATTGTACATGCCGCTGGTCATGGAGTGTGCCCGAATTGGGATGTTACCAGAATTGGGATGTTGCCAGAGTCAACCTTCGAAGCTTATTGACCACGTTTGTCTTGGATGCGCTGCGTTTCCGGTGGCAGACCCATCGCATACATCGATATCTGCAGGGATATAAAAGCAGCAAGCATGTACTTCACCGTCTCTTCGCGCCGACAGGCCGATGGCCGGCGGACGTGCAATTCGCGAAAAGAAGACGCTTTGGAGATATTCGTCATCATTTGAGATGCTTTGGAAAATATCGATCCTGATTGACACCTGCGCGAGTACACGCAATGTGATTGGCGCGCTGAAAACGATTATCCGGACAAGAGTGCAGGCTTTACGGATTTGACCAGCAAGTTGTTCTCGAAGCCGACCGATGTTCCTGCGGTCGACCGCGATCCTTGGCGCCGGTCGCCGACGCGCCACGCCCGCGCGCGTCTTCTTCTCGTCGTCGACGCCGCCCATGCTGGCCAAGCGCGATGATGAGAAGCAGAGCGGCGGCTTTCCCGGCGTATTTCCCGCGGCGAAGAAGACGCTGCTGCAGGACATTGTCGATCGCCTCAACCACTCGATGGAGCACCACCCGCAGACCACGATGGCCTTTGTTATCTCGGCCGACATGGCCAGCATCTTTGGCACCTATCTCGGGTACTTTCTTTCATCCATGTCCTCGCACGAGTGACAACAAAAGTAACGTAGGCGTGGTCATTTCGCCCGAGTTTGCTTTGGCGTTTGCAGCCAGCCGGCCACTGCGCCGCCTGCGGATGCCGTTCGACCTGGCCATGGCCGCCATGCTCTCCAAGATCTTCCCGCCCCTCTCGCGCGTGCGCGTCTCAAGCATGTTTCCCACGTACGATGACGACCATCTACATGGCTCGCATCGTCGTCGAACCTGAATCGTGTGCTCTAGTGTGCCAGGCGACCAGTCGTCGCTGCTGCACAAGGGTATGTCGACGATGACCGACATTATGGACAAGTACGGCGCGTGCTACATGATCGGGTCGCGCCTCGCCGGTCTCACGGTCGTCACTCGCTCTACTTTGCGCTCATTCAGGGCGTTGATATCCTGCCCTATTTGGAACAGTTTGGCTTTGGCGAGCTCGGTTCGGCCATGGGCACGTGGCTGCCAGCGTCGTGATGGCCTCGGTCTTCTATCCGGTCACGCTCAGCGTCACGGGCTACGTGGTGCCAACGCTTGCGCGGTCCCTCGCGCGTGCCAAGGCCAACGCCATCAAAAAGTAAACCCACCACATCCAAGAAAATGATTTCCATCTCTCGTAATCATCGCTTTTAGTTTGTACACGTAGTTGGTCGTTGAGTTGTTTACAGCTTTTGCACGAGCGTGAGGCCGTCGTACATGGGGAGGACGACGCTGCGCGTTCGCGCATCGCTCGCCACGTGCTTGTTGAAATCCATGAGCTGCGACGCCGTCTTCTCGTTCGGTTTTCCGCGGCCGTACGCGTGCTCGACGACCTGGCCGCGAAAGAGCGTGTTGTCAAACACGATCCAGCTCTTGGGCGCGAGGAGTCGATCGGATGCCACGAGCGCTTCGTAGACTGCCACGTAATCCTTCTTGCTCCCGTCGATGAAGGCAAAGTCAAACGTCTCTTGCGTCGCCGCGAGCAGGTCGAGGCCCGGCTGCGCGTGCACCGTCACGTTCGAAATCGATGACGTGGCAAGCTGCGCGCGCGTCCACGCAATCGCTTTCGGGTCAATGTCGCACGTCGTGACGTGGCCATGCGGCAGTGCGAGCGCCATCGCGACGGCCGAGTAGCCGGTAAAGCAGCCAACTTCCAGCACCTTGGACGCACTCAGCGCCTGGACAAGGAACTGGAGCGCCTTGGCCTGGCCCGGCGAGATCATCTTTTGCATGAGGTCGTCGCTAAAGTCGCGGCCAATCGCGTCGCGCCACGCTGACAGCTGCGAGTCCGATGCAGGGATGCGACTCACATCGTGGACGTAGTCGTTGAGCTCGGGGCTCATTGTCGCTTCCGAGATGTGGTACGTCGAGTACGACCGGGCGTGGAACGGGTTGCCAGGACGCACGCGCGCATTCGGCACCAAGTGGTGCTGGAACCGGTGCGAGTTGGTTTGGCGAACGCCTTGCGGTCGTCCGTTGCCATGACGTCCATCTCGTGCTTGATGCGCTGGCACTCGGAAGTGCACGCGCCGTCGAACGCGGCGTGGCAGGCGTCGCACTGGAGCACGAGGCCGTGGCAGAGCGTGTTGGCGCAGTTGACGTGCGTGTTGGTGGGCGCGCCGCACTGATAACACTGCCCAAGCACATCGTCGGACAAGGCTTGGTCGTCGTTCGAGAGGCGCTGGTCAAATACAAAGTTGCGCCCGAGAAACTTCGACGACAAGTTGTGTTCGCGGACGAACTTGCCGTAGTGGACAATGCCACCTTGCAGCCGCTTCACGTTGGTGTACCCGTTCGTCTTGAGGTACGCGCCGACCTTTTCGCAGCGGATGCCGCCGGTGCAGTAGATCATGCACTCGGTGTCCTTGGGGGACCCGTCGAGGAGCGCATCGAGCGACGCCCACGTGTCCTTGAACGTGTCGACCATGATGCGCTCGGCGCCTTCGAACCGGCCGACATCGTGCTCGTAGTAGTTGCGGCAGTCAAAAATCCGCTTGTGCGTTGGCGACGAAAGCGCCTCGTGCCAATCCGCTGGCGACAGCTCGATGCCGCGGTCGTCCATGGATAGACTCTTGTCAAGACCGTCGTGGGCCAAGTGCGGACGCACACGGACGTGGAGCGTGTGGAATGGGCACTTGCCTTCGGGCGTCGCGTCGTTGTGGTCGAGCACCGCGCCGAGGTTGAGAAGCGCATCGTCGAGCCAATCGAGCGTGTCGAGGTACGCCTTGAAGTCGTCGAGGCGCGTCATCGGCACCGTGATCTGAGCGTTGATGCCTTCTTCGGCGATGTACACGCGGCCCATGACGCCAAAGCGTTGCCAGTCGGCAAGGAGCTGGTGGCGCAGCTTGGGCAGACCGCTGGCCTCGAGCTTCGTGTACTGGTAGAACGAAATGTACTGGAGGAGACCGAGGTTCTGCGGCCGGTATGGCGCCCGGCGCGAGAAGCTCTGGTGCCACAGGCTCGACGACCGGCGCAGACTTGGCGCAGTGGCGTGGCGGCGAAGACCCCACATGATGACGACCCTTCGAGCGTTCGGTCAAATTCTGTTTGTGTCAAGATACACTGCATTTTCAAGTACGCGGGTGTGTTGACTAATTGCACGCACTTTGGGTCCCCAGCGCCACGATCTGTAGGGTGGCACAGTTCGATAGGCCTCGAGATTTCTTGCCCGCGTCAAAGCATAGCGATTGGCCCTATGAAGGGTACGTACATTTTGATGCTGGCTGTCGCTTGCATGCCGACTGGGGTCTCGTGCTGGTCATCGAGGTGGTCTTCAAGTTGCGTTCAAATAGATGCAGGCATTTCCGAGCCAAATGCAGGCCAAACGCCAAATAAATTTCGCCGGCCTTTCTATCTTGGCCATTCAAATCGGACCAAACAGAAGCTTGCGTGTTTCTCTGCCGCCATGCTGGGGCTGCTGCGCCGATGTCCGGCGTCGGTTGGGCGCCGGAGCTACTACGCCCTGCCGCCAATGCATCACGAATGGATATCCGGGCACACGGAGCGCGCAGCAGTCGACTGCCCGCACCTGGCGCACATCCAGATGCAGCTCATCACACCCAACTGTGCGCTCTGGACGGCGTCGAGCGAGGAGGCGGCCACGTACCCGTTCCCAGACCCGTTCTGGGCCTTTTGCTGGCCGGGTAGCTACGGCATCTGCCGTTATCTGCTTGATGCACCGGCGGTCGTCGCCGGAAAGACGGTGCTCGACTTTGGCGCGGGCTGCGGCATTGGCTCGATCGTGGGCCTCGACCAAGGCGCGTCGCAGGCCATTGTCAACGACATAGACGAATGGTCGTGCTCGGCGACGCACATGAACTTGATGCAACATTACGCGGCTGACCGGATGCCGCACGTGTACATGGAGCCGCGGGACTTGGTCGGCACGCCGCTGCCAGACCTCCTGCGTCAGTATAAGCTCGAGGATGCCTCCCAACTCGTCGTGCTCGCCGGCGATGTGTGCTACGAAGAAGGCTTAGCGCGCCGCGTCATCGACTGGCTGCATGGCCTCGCCTTGGCAAATTCCACTGTGCTGGTGGGGGACCCCGGACGGCAGTTTCTTCCGCACCAGCGCCTCTCGCGCGTCGCCACGTACAAGCTGCCACCGAGTCTTGCCAAAGATAACTATGGCCATGACGGCGCCGTCGTCTGGACTATCGAGGCTTAGGATGCGTCGTTGATACAGTGTGTGTCGTGTTCGCCTGGCTTCAATCTCGTCGAGTACACGTTGTGAGGGGTAGTATTGACAGGATCCACCCAATGTGATGTGTTTTCTGTTTCTCATTGGAGGCCGCTCGTCGAGACGTTTGATCTGACGCGCTCTCGTTGACTTCTTCCCGCTGTTGCCGCACAATCAGACCGTGGCAGAGCTTGTATCAAACGAGAGAGTCGAGTGTGATCGTTGTCGTGTCGTTCGCTTCATGCGAATCATTTTCAGTCTACTCAGCGATGAGTTAGATTCAAACCACGTCGTTATTGGGAGAGACACGCACCTTTTAGTAGCAAATGATCTCTCGTCCAAAATGTATGACCCACACATTTATCAGTGTAGTCAATGTGCACCATACCAGGGGTATCCCGCGGCTTCGGCTAGTGTTGGAGCTCAGACGTCATCTCGTGTCTGAGCACTCACTGGGTTTGCAAGGCGCTACTGTGGTGTGTCTGAGCGAACTACGTCACAATTCGACACGACCGGGCAAGTTTCATCACCAGGTTTTCCCCGCACATGCGCTTCTCATAGGCGGTTCGCGTCTTTTTCGATTTCCCGTCCTCGTCGCTCGGCTAGCACTCATCCAGGATGCACTGGCTGAAGGTTTCTTTGTACATCTCTTTGTTGTCGTTAGCCGTCTTGAGGCTGACGCTAATGCCTCTGGTGGTCTCGAATGTGCCGAAAATGAATACGTCAAGCTCGGCCCATGCCTTGGCAGCATGCCTCGTCAGCGGAAGTGGCAAGCACCTGGCGCGCGTGATGACGCACGAGGTCGCACCAACTCGCATCGACACTGCCGAGGACGTCTGATAGATATGACGACACAGCGTTTGCTCGGAAGGAAGTCGTCTTTTCCTTGCCCGGGCGTCTCGAAAGGTGCCAGCGTTGCTCAATGGCTGCCAGCACACGTCGATACCAAGGCCATAAACTCATGGCCTTGTCGATACCATGCAAAACATCAGAGCTATGAACGGTATGACTTTGTCGTTGTGATCCAAACGCGCTTTGAATCATGTCTGCATCGCCGCACCAAACATGAAGTAAATGAATCCCTTCTCACACGGCCGATTGTGTCGATTCGATACGTGCTGCGCTACTTCCACCGTAGTAGCTCGCAAGCATACGAGCCACAAAGGAAATTCATTTGCTTCCGACGTTACCATGTCAAGTCACGATATTGGGGTGCTCTATTGACTTCATTTTGAGCATGCCACGTCCAGTCTCGACGTCGTTCAGCTCGCGAGCCATCGAGGTCTATCTTGTGCACGGCTTTTGGTCTCGCACCATGCGTGGGAGAATTCTGCACCTCTGCCCATGCGGTCCTCCGCCAACGTGATGGGAGCGACGCGGTGTGCATCTGTCGCGCCGCGAAATATTTGATGACATGGGAAAAGCGATGGAAAATATACTACCGGCAGGCGATGACGCCCGCTTTCACGTGTGCTGCAGGCGATAACGCCCGCTTTTACATGCCGCTCTCCGACCTCGTGTTCGCATGGGCGGGAACAACCCCATGACGACCCCCGCGTCGTTTCATGGAAACCTATTGTCTGTTACTTGGCTTGTCGGTACGAAACAAAGTCGTACACCGCGTGGCAGTGGCGACCCTTTGCCGCTCATTTTGGCTGCTCGCCATAGCGCCATATGTTTCTTACATCGAATGCGTCGCCGCACGCGATGACCAAAACATACGGTGCCACACAATGAGAGTAGCATCGTCGTGACGTCGAATCTATGGTAGGCTATCAAGTTGGAGAGAGATACTTTGTTGCGTTCATGTATTCTTTTTAAAGACCTCGAAGATTATTGGTGTAGCCGCTTGGGCAGACACCGTGTCGTCGAACGCCATATCCAGTCCGAGTGTCAGTTATTCCAAAGACATCTGCATGTGCATCTCCGGCGGAGGGATCTGCATCCTGTGTTCTGCGCACAAACCACATCGGCTCGATGCTCATTTTTCAATTTCCTGCACCTTCCCAACAAGAATGGTCGCAGTGTACATCCAAGGCTTCCTCGCCCTCGCGGCTGTCGCGTTCGCGGCTCAAGAGGCACCGTCCGATGCCTTGACATTCGGTAACCTCGTCGACTGCGACCAAAACGGAGGCGGCGGGTGGAACATCAACGGCGGCGGTGGTTGGAGCATCAACAGCGGCGGCAAGT